TGTGCTTCCCGAGTGGGGAGTGGGGTGGGACAACAGGACAAATTCCCAACTGAGTAAACAGCTCAGTGTACAGGGCAGAGTAAATCATTCTCCGGATTACTCTGGAGTGAGTGCAGGATGGGAGCCTTGCAGGTGGCTGTGTGCTGGCTTGAAGACACCAGGTCTTGTTTTTGACTCTCTCAGTTCACACAGCTCCTTGGGTAAGCTGTAAATTCTTTAACTTATCATATCTTCCCAGGGAGTTATGGTTGCCATTGAACAGGTTTTATCAGCTGAGGAATGCAGCAGGACTTGTAGGTGCTCCCTTCCCCTTGTGCAGAGGGAAGAGCTGAGCTCTGGCAGCCTTGGGGCCGTGCCCATTCCCTGAGGAGCCTGGGCAGTGCCCAGCACCCTCTGGGGGAAGAGCCTTTCCCTGATATCCAGCCTGACACACTCCTGGCACAGGTTGATGATGTTCCCTCATAATTGCTCTGTACTTCCATTTGCCATCAAAGTGTTTGGCTGAGGCATTGGTGAACCAGACATCTTTAACTTTAGAGTATAAGGTAACTGCAGGAACACCAAGTATAGCACTAGGCTTTTATGGCTGTTGCAAAGCCAGCATATCTGGGATCATGGCTGTCTGTAATTTTGCAGGCTTTGTTGGCCCTTCAGTTATATCCATTAGACCTGTGACTCCTGAGACACGTGCACAGCGTTTGTGCACTGTTGGTCTTTGTGCAATCCCACCTCGTGGAGCACAGCCCTTCTTAATACTGGCTAACAGATTAAAAGGTCTTTGGATTTGCACAGATTGGTGCTGTTGAATTTTTTCTACTTCTTTAAGAGCTCAGAGATAGTAATCCCTTTTCCCAGTCAGAGTATATCTCTTCTCAGGATCTTTCAGTGCTGCAGAACTGAGCCCTAATGGTTGTTTATGTCTGTGTGGGCCTTTCTGGGACATGTTACAGTAAGTCCCATGTTCAGCAAAACCCCATTCAGTGCTTGTAGGATCATTGGAATGAACTGCCCCAAGTGATGAATATATTTTTAACTCTTCTATTAGCGTTTGTAAAGCCTTTTCTGACTATCAAGCCACCCCTAAGTCTGGCTTTTGCTCATTAATGCGTACAATGGTCTTGTTCTACAGAAAATCCAGGAATATGATTTCTCCAGTATCCTGAAATGGAACCATGAAGAACATATCTTTTATATCTGGAACTGCTGTCCATTTGCGTGCAGCTGCTTGCAGGGTGGCACTGAGACTGGCAGTGTTTGGGATAAATCTTCCTATGTTGGCATTCAGCCACCGATAATCAATCATTAAGTGCCAGCTCATGTCTGGTTTTCTCACTGGCCAAACAGGAGAATTGTAGGGGTATGTGTCCTAAATATAACAATACCCCTTTGTTCTAAATTTTTAATAGATTAATTTTCTGTTTTTTTCAGAAAATTTATTATGTGCAGTTTTTGTTGGTTGGGATGACCAAACATTCCTGTTTTGCCATTGCCAAACTTCTTTTGAGGGCACCATATCCTAAAATGTTTTCTTAATGATTTGTGATTGCAAATGTGTGTGAGGTCATTCCTTTTTCCCCAGCTAGCCATAAACAGACTTTGACAGTGGAATATATAAAATACTATGTCCTTTGAATCCTGTTAGATGGACTGTCTTTATTTCAAACTTAAATTTATTTTTCAGCGTCTGTAGGGGTGATCGGAGATATTTGGGCTCCTGTAGTAATTAAAATTCAAATGTTGTTTTCTCAGTCCTACTGGTAAGTAGATATGGGGCCCATCCTTGTCAGATCATTGATAAGTCATAATGAGCTGGGTGAGAAGGCCCAAAGTTCACCTAGAGCTTACTATTTTTTTCCTTTTGTGTTTCTGTTAACTCAGAAGGACTGGGGGGGTTTTCCTGTGGAGGCTTTCCAATACTTGTGTTCTCCCATCCTTCACCACTTTGACTAAGTCTGCTGTCCTGCACTGGAATGTCCCCAGAGGGCATCACAAGGGACTCCTAAGGTCACTGCTGTCATCCACATCTCCTTTTGCTCTTCCCAGAAGTAAGCAGAGTTTTGATCTTTTGCTTCACTCAAGTAGGGTATGTTTAAAAGTCCTCACCCAGCATTCTGGAGGTATCTGTATTTAAGTTTTTAGGCTGCTCTCAATAGCCTGAGTTTGCTCTCCAGAATGGCTTTCCTAGCCCGTTTTCCGTGTCTGGTTCCCAAGCCATGCAAGAGTTTTGCCCATGTGGGCATAATTGCCTTCATTAGGCATTACATCTCTTCTAATTTCATCTCATCACCCTACTAAATAAATTTTTATCATTGCAGGGGCACCTCTCAATAGAAGTCTTAATTAGGAGATTAATCTCTGTGGAGATTGGGGTGTTTCTGTTTTCACATCAAAGCTGCCTTTGTAACAGCAGCAGAGATTTCATTAGGTGACCATATGGGTATGGAAGCTGGGTCTCCTCTTCCCATAACATTTATTCCTCCTGCCCAATATGCAGCCTTGCTGGTTATTGAATAGGGTTGATGGGCAAGCCCAGGTCCAAGATTTGATAAGACTTCTGGCTCCCAGTATCCCTTAGCTTGAGTTCCATTCAGCAATATTCTAGCTTCCCCAGAGATTCACTCTCCACAAATACTTGGTTTCTGACTCCCCTGATTTTCTTCCATATTTTTCCTGTAGATTTGCTAGTTGCAGGGAGTCCCAGGCCTAAGTTCTCTCCGTGTTCCTCCTGTGACCTCCTTGGGGTTCTTTGGACACTTTGGTCCTAATTATGTGTTCCATTTTAAAATCTGGAACCTCTTCCTCTCTAGGAGGTGAACATTCAGTTGTTTCATCTGCATTCCATTCTCCCTCATCAGAATTTTCATCAGGGCTTTCCCAAAAATCTCCATCCCAATCCTCAGGTGATACTATTAATTTTCACACTTTTACAGCACTGGGGGCTTTTTATAATATCAGTTCTAATTTTTCTTCCAAGACTTTTGCCTTTTCTTTGAATTCTTTTAGCTGTTTCTTTAATTGGTCATTTTGATAACTGTAAAGACAGTTGTACATATTTTCTGTCTTTTATTTCCTCTCTCAGATTATTAGTTTCTTTTATGATTTGTTCTCTCCATTGCCATGCAGCCTTTAAGCATAATCTCACTAATGGCACATGATACGTCCTCCTTTTTTATCTTCCAGTGATCCCTCTTTTTATTTAATTCTCTTGTATCCTTTCCCACTCACACCAATTGTTCACTGACCAAAGATTATCAGTGTCAATGTGTGTCCTGTGCTGCTGTAAATATTCTGTTAAGCCTTTTGTCTCTTTCTCAGAATTATTTGCCATCCTGCTGACTATGTCAGTTTGTCACGGGTGGAGTGGGAGTTTCAGACAAAGTTTGTGAGAGAAGCTGTTGTTGAGTCAGGAGGTGCAGAAAGGACCCCCTGCCTTTCTAAACTCCTTCTCCAAGAGAAGCCTTGGTGTAGCTGGATCCAATCCTAAGCCTCATTGCCAACGGTTTAAGTCTAAGGAATTACAAAGGTGTGATTTAACCTTTGTACAACTTTGTCCTGCAGGGATAAGGATGGCAAACCAGATATATTTGTATAAAAATAAATTATTTATTATGATAAATGATTAGACAAAAATATCTTAATCAGAGTCATGTACTATACAGGATAAAAGCTAAAACTAATAATAGAGTAGAGTAGAACAGAGTATATTAAAGTAATTTTATTAAAGCTGGAACACCCCATGATTATGAAATAGAGATTGATGTCACTCACCCAGAACAACAAGCGTGGGCAAATCTCCTTTGCTCACTCTTGAGCAGTGACCTTGAAGGGTGTTCCCACCCCAGGGAGGAATCTCCACAGGCACTCCAAGAAGGAATATGTTAGAAGAACCTGCTATTTGTAAGGGGTAGGACTTTTAGAGTAAAAAGTGATTGTCAGTCAGATATCTGCAGGCCAGCTGTTCCAGCTTAGCATTTTTAGGTAAGGATAATTTACCATATCTGCCCCATCTTCCTCTTGCTATCAGAATGTTTAACTTTGGGGTCGATGAGTCAGACTGGATTTAGCATAATTCAAGACCAAAAGCAGTGTGACACCCCCTCTCAGTTCACCACTGACAGCTTTGCAAAACTGGGTGTTGTATGAGTTGTCTTACCCTATTCCAGGCAGAGCATCCTGCTACTCAGATTATAAAAACTTATTTTTTATGTGTAATCTAAACTGATCCTCTTTTAATTTAAGACCATTCCTCCTTGTTCTGTGAGCAACTGGGAGATTTCAATGAGAACCTGAACCCCTCCATAGGAATGGCTTGAAGGTTTGCTGGCTCCTCTGCAGAGCAGAGCTGAACCCAGCAGAGCTGGGACCAGGAATCTGGTGCTGGTGGGAGGTCACTATGTGAGCTCCACTCTGCAAAAGCAGCTGAGGAAAACATCAAGAAGGTCACACACAGATGTCTGCTGTCCTGAGGGATTTATCAGGAAAAGTGACCCTAGGACATGGCCAGGACCAGAGCAAAAACCCCTGAGGTGTGGGAGGTAGACCCCAAGGTTCAGAGTCACCTCTCCTGGTTTTCAGCTCTGGGAGATGTTGTGTTTGGTTTGAAAAACTAACACAAATCTGGCAGGGGCCTGCTGAGCTGCTGGGGCCAGGAGGGGAGCTGATGTCACAGTAAAAGCAATTTGGTTTCTTGCTCCCACTACCAGCTCCCCCAGCAGCTGGGGAGATGCTTTGAGCTGCCTCTTGGCACAATGATGGATAAATTAGATGCTGCCACTGAATGGCCCAGTTTGGATGTGCCCCAGTCTGGGACAGCAGAGCCACCTCCAAAGCTGGCTTGGTGACAAGGAATGACCCACATCTGTAGTCACCTGAAGCCAGTAATGAGCAGGTTGAAGGAGGAGGGGAGCCTGGTGGGACTAGGGCTGGATTGTAGGGTGGAGTGGTGGCATCTGCTGTGAGGTGGATGCTCTGCCATCTGTTTCCATATTCCTCCTCTCCAGGATGCGGGAAGTGGACCTGGGCTGCGGGAAGGCTCTGCTCATCAAGGAGAGTGGGGAGTTCCACGCCGTGGGACACAAGTGTCCCCACTATGGGGCTCCACTGGTCAAAGGTCAGTCTGCATCATGTCCTGGAGAGCAACCGAGGGCATCATAGGACAAAGGACAGCCCCCTGACTGTGCTGCCCAGCATGCAGCAGTGCTGCACTGCACACTCAGCATCACTGGGGCATCTTCTGGCTGGGAAAGGCATGAGAGCAAGCTGGAGTTGCACAAAACTCACCAGATACTTTTCCAGCTCTGGTTTACAGCTGCCACTGCTGATCACAGGGATGGCGCTTCTTCTCATTGAGGGGAAAGAGGACACTCTTTAAGCTGATGGGGTCCTTCCAGTAGCAAAAGGAACATTGCTCATGTTATTGACTGAAGTGAGATGAGGCAGAGTGGTTTCTCATCTTGGCACCTAAAAATATGCATCATGGTACTTTCTCAGCACAGGCTTCAGGCAGATCTCTGCCCTGAGCCTAATCACTGGCAGCAATCTGTGTGCATCACCAAAACTGGGGTTGGGATGGCACTTTGCTGGAGGTGGGATCCTGGGGAAGACAGGGGAGCATCCTTCTGGGTGTCTTCTGGCCCATAAGCTGTGCTGGGTGTAGCAGCCATGCTCTCAGCCCCCCCACCCTGGGGTGAGCCGCTTGCTGAGCAGGGCAGAGGAGCCCCACACTGCCCTGGAGGTGAGAGCTCACCGCCCTTTCAGAGAGCTGTGGTGCATTCCTCAGACTGGCTGTCACACGGGTCTCTCTGGGGATTTTGCTGCAGCTGTAGGTGCAGGGGGGCTGCCCCTGTGCCCCACCCATGGTGGTGATGAGATGTGTCACTGCTGTGCCTCAGCAAGCAGAGACACAAGTTCAAGACCACTCCATGGCTGCACGGTGGCCTTTGCTGTACCCTGGCATTGTGGCAGGGAAAGCTGAAGTCCAGCGTGGCAGCCTCTGAGCCAACACCTAGAGAAATGAACTGATGGCTTTGGGCATGCCTGTGCCTGCCAGGTGTGTGCAGGTGCCTTGCTGTGCCAGGGTCTGCTCTGCAACCCATGTACTCTAAATCAATGATGCTCTGCTTGAGGCACCACTTGTTCTGGGTAATAGTGGGGCTTTTAAGAATGACCATGACACTCTGGGGATGGCAGCCCCATCCTGACTGGTGAGTGAAGTTATATCCCAGAGCAAACAGCTCTGGAACTGTGCCCAAAGGTACTAGAGCACCCTGCCATCCAGGGCATTTTAGAAGGAATTGCTCATATAGGATCCCAGCTGGTCCCAAACGTGCCCAGTGTGCATGTTGAGAAAACTCCACTATTGCCCATCCAGGCCCACATCAGCTGTCACGTGTCCTGTAGAAGAGGTGCCATCTCACAGGATGGGAGGCAGCTGCAGGGCAGCACCAACCCTGCTCTGCCATGTTCCCTGCAGGGGTTTTGTCCAAAGGAAGAGTCCGCTGTCCCTGGCACGGAGCTTGCTTCAATATTGGCACAGGTGACATTGAGGACTTTCCCGGCTTGGATAGTTTACCCAGGTTCCAGGTGAGATCTTTGTCCTTGCAGCAGAGGAAACCACACAATCATGGGATGGTTTGGGTTGGAAGGGACCTTAAGGCCCACCTCATTCCACCCCCTTGGACACCTTCCACTATCACAGGTTGCTCCAAGCAACCACTACAACCTGGTCTGGAACACCTCCAGGGATGGAGTAGCCACAGCTGCTCTGGGCACCCTGTGCCAGGGCTTCCCCCCCTCCCAGGAAGCAATTCCTTCCCAATATCCCATCCATCCCTGCCCTCTGGCAGTGGGAGCCATTCCCCCTTGTGCTGTCACTGCAGGCTCTTGTCCAAAGTCCTTCGCCTGCTCTCTTGGAGCCCCTTAAGGCCCTGGAAAGGGCTCTGAGATCTCCCTGGAGCCTTCTCTTCTCCATGTGAACAATCCCACTCTGCCTCAGGGCTGCTCTCGATTCCTGCGTCCCCCCAGCCTGGACAGATAAGGCAAATTGCTCACATCTAGGTGCAGCAGCTTGCATTTGCCCTTATTGAAACCTTGTAAAATTCCCATGTGGTCACTTCTCCAGCCTGGCCACATTCCTCTGCATGGATCCCTTTCCCTCTAGAGCATCAACCATACCACTCAGTTCCGTGTCACCCACAAAATGACTCTTTTAGCTGGCATAAGTAACGGTCTGTATGGCATGGAGCAAATATTTTCCAAGGATGTGCTGATGTCACCAGTGGAGGGCAGCTCCTCATCCAGCTCCTTCCCCCCTGCAGCTCCCTTGCACCCACCCACAGGCATCAGACACCTCCTGGGAACATGGGAGTGCCCAGTCTGGGAGGTCTCTGGAGTAGGAGTGGGGTGGGAATGAGAAACCATGTGCATAAGATGTGCGTAGAAGTCAGGTTGCACACTGAGCGTCAGTGTGGGGTTGATCCGAGGCAGGAGATCCCACAGCCTCAAGCTGGGATGAGCTCTGCCATGGCCTGAGGTGCTCCTGCAGGTGACCTGGTGCCATCACCCCCTGCTCCTTAGCTGTTGCCCAGAGGGAACCCTTGCTGCTCTGCAAACCAGCACTGTTCTGTCACCCTCAGGTGAAGATTGAGAAGGAGAAGGTATACATCCGAGCAAGCAAGCAGGTGAGGGGCCACTGACATCCAAAAATCAAGGCCAAAGCTTTCATTTTTTGCTATATGTGCATGGGGGTGGGGGGAAATGCTTCTCTTTGATCCTCTGGCCTGGGCAGAGTGATGTGTGAGTATCCAGTTTGTATGGAGGCACAAGTGGAGCAGGGCAGAGGTGTTGGGTCCCCCTTCCACCCAGCCTCCCTGCAGCTGCTGGACACCTGGCCTGGGCTGTCCATGCTTTCAGGTCTAACAGGTGTTTGTCCTGCACTTGTCCTATGTTTCCTTAAGCTTTTAATTTAGCTGGCCCATGGGAAGAGGCCTTTTGGCATGGTGATGACAGAGGCCACATGTGCTCCCTCCTGAGCCCACACCTCAGCTCCTGCTGGAATGGTAGAAAGGCTCTCCTGCCCTGATGGAATGGAGAATGAAGCCCATTCAGGCCACTGCCATCTTTCTTTCCATGAAAACCCTTCTTTTGATGCATGGTTGTGTGTACGCATGTGCAAATCCAGTGGCTCAGAGCCCCAGTGGGCCCTTGGAGCACTCGGGTTATATCCAGAGATGTCGCCTGAACGGCAGCACTTCAACTCCAGCTGATTTGGGGATGTGATGAGGGGAAACTGAATCTATTTGCTCTACCAGGAACAGATTTTGTCCTCTAATGCCTGGGAACCGGGGTCTGTGCAGCAGGGCTGCACTGGCACAGGTCCATACCTGTGGTCTGGTGGATTGGACAAGTCCATCAGCTTTGTATCAGGTGTACAAGCTCTGCTCGGGTTCAGGATAAAATTCCTGGCAGAGTTTCTTCATTTTTGTCTCACCTTTGGTGCAGAATTGCACAAGGACACACCTGCTTTTTCTATTGCCCCACCACTACTCCAGCTCTGAGTAGTTGCATGGCTTTGCAGTAGATGATGGATTTGTTTTTCTTTTGTACCTTGTAACGGGCAGTGCACTGGACATTGAAATGGTATTTGGATGAGCAGGGGTTTGGAGTCCTTGTTCAGTACAAGAGTGTGGTTGTTCCCTTCCTATCCAAGCTGGTTTATGACACTGCTACAGTTGTCCCCATGCCTGCCTGGCTGCCCAGGGTAATGCTGAGTAAAGATAATTGCTTTTCTTCTTTTTTTTTTTTTTTTTTTTTTTTTTGGTGGTGACACAGGCTCTTCAGACACAGAGGAGGACAAAGATGATGGCAAAGTGCATCTCCTTGAGCAACTACAACCTGAGCAGCACCAATGTGCTGATCATTGGTGCAGGTAAGGATGGCACATGCTGGGGTCACTGTGTGTCCTCTCCAGGCAGTAATGCAGGGAGGGGGTGTCTGTGTATCCTGCACCCTCTGTCACCTCTCCTGCATTCCTCCCTGTCCAAAGGGTCACACCAGAAAGTCATCCTGACCTTTTTTTACTACATGCTAATGATCCAGAGGTGACCTGTGGTCCAGTTTGTGGAGCTTTACAGTTCCCTGTTGCCATGCTTTGAAGTGAACCCCAAATATTCTTCCTGCTACTCCCTTCCCAGTTACATTAGCAACCCCTGATTTCCACAGATGATGAGTGGATGATGATGATGATGAGTGTAAAGCCTTTTCAGGACCCTGTGGTGTTGATACCCTTTTTTGTTTTGGACCTTGCACATCACCAGCTCATCCCATTGCACCTCCAAAGTCCTCACCTCAAGATGCTTCTGTGAAGATAAAAGTTCTTCCACCTTGCCAGCAAATGTCAGATCCCTGCCAAAAACACCAAAGCTGCCAACTTTTCCCTTCCCTTCCCTTCCCTTCCCTTCCCTTCCCTTCCCTTCCCTTCTCTTGTCCCAGCTCTATTTGTGTGTTGCCATTTTTGTAGAAAGCCTGATGGGGTGAAGTGTATCTGCCAAGTTTCTGGAATGGGTTAGATGCCAGGGCTCGGCCATGTTGGGGTGAAATGGAGGGTGCTCTTCCGATCTTACACTCTTCCCTTCCCTTCCCTTCCCTTCCCTTCCCTTCCCTTCCCTCTTTTTCTCTTGTCCCAGCTCTATTTGTGTGTTGCCATTTTTGTAGAAAGCCTGATGGGGTGAAGTGTATCTGCCAAGTTTCTGGAATGGGTTAGATGCCAGGGCTCGGCCATGTTGGGGTGAAATGGAGGGTGGGAGGAGGACAGGAGCTTCTTTACCTGGGACTGGGAGGAAACATCTGCTCCTGGCACATGGGTTGTTCTTACTTGAGTCTCAAGGTCACCAGATCCAAGCTGGATATTGGATCATCAAATTGGGGTCATCTTGGGTGCATCTCACAGTCTGAGCAGAGGGGAAAACCAGCTTGACTGGCTTTTCCCATGCTGCTGGGCGGCATTTTTCCCTTCCTTGTGCCCCTGCTGATTGTGGACTGAATGCCAGGGTGGGACATACTGCTCCCTGAGGTTAGCTGGAATGTCCTGGTGTGTGGCAGGTCTGGACAGTTATCACAATCCTCAGCAAGGTCACTCCACAGACAACATTAGCCACTGCCAGATAAATTTACAGGTCTGTTAAAGACTAGAGTCTATTCTGGTGGACACCAAAGGAGGTTTCAAAGCTGGATTTGTGGGGAAGAAGTGTTGGGGAAAGACTGCCTATCCAGCCCTGTGTCAGGGACTGAGATCCAGCCATGCCCAGCAGAGCTGAGAGCAATTGGCTGCAGTCCCTTGCTCATGTGAGGCTCATCCTGACATCAGCACAGCATCAGCTCTGGCTCAGGATGCTCCTGGCAACATGCACAGGATGTCCACCTGCCTGTCTCTTCTTCCACTGTCCCCCAGCTCCATCAGTGGGAGTGTCTTTTTGATGGACCAAACTACATGGTCCAGGTCCATCTTCTCTCAGTGGTGTTACAGAATTTGTGGCCCTAAAAACACTTATCATGGAGTGAGGCTTCCTTGGCTGAGAAGAGACTCCAGACTTCTCACCTGAGCTCTCCAGTCTCACCAGTTCAGTCAGGGAAAAAGGGATGTGCCAGCCATGCTGCCTGGCTGGAGTGGGACAGCATGTCCCAAGGCAGCTTTTTGTTTGATTTAACAAGTTCTTTCCTGTGATTTGAACAAGTGAACAAAAAACCCCTTAAAGAAATAGCATGGAAAATGCTCTGCAGTGAATCACACAACCAACACCTTGGCCATGGAGAAGGGAGGACTTCCTGCTCTCTGTGCTTGGCCATAAATTCACCAGGAGCAGGGTGTGCAGACCCTTCTCTGACTAGAGAGGTCCAAGGTTCTAAGTGGCTGCTTATGCACTGGAGTTTATCAGAGTTTGTAGGCTTCAGCAACACTCCTCAGGTGTGCTCTTTGTGTGCTAGCGACAGTTTAGGGACAGTCAAGAGGATTAATGTCATGGTCCACAGACAGAGCGTCCCTTCTGCTGCCTCATGCATCTGCTCCAGCTGGCTTCCCGTGTGAGCTGTTTGAGTTGGGAGAGGCTGTGAGGTGAAGCCAGGGCTGGTGGAGGTGGTGGTCTTGGAGTCAGCCCCAGTGGGTTTAGCAGTAACGAGCACAGACCTCCCAGGGCCACACACACATGGCTGTCACTGTCTCCTTCTCCCCTAGGGGCAGCTGGGCTGGTCTGTGCAGAGACCTTGCGCCAGGAGGGTTTCTCTGACCGCATTGTGATGTGCACCATGGACAGACACTTGCCCTATGACAGACCAAAGCTCAGTAAGGTTTGTATCACTCTGGGTATGCCACAGTTCCCTAGTTTTAAAATTTGCTCCCCAGTTTTAAAATTTGCTCCCCAGTTTTAAAATTTGCTCTAGGGCCTTTCCGCACTATTATTCATTGCAGCAGCAAGGTTGTGTTTCATTAGTCTTCCTGTCTCTGTTTCCCTTGAATTTTCTTCCCTCTTTGTGACTGAAATATGAAACACAAAAAAGGAGTTGTTCAAATTAAATTAAAATTACTCCAGCAGAAAAACAAAGGTATTCTTCCTTGTGTGGGTGGTGAGGCCCTGGCACAGGTTGCTCAGAGCAGCCGTGGCTGCCCCTGGATCCCTGGAAGTGTCCAAGGCCATGTTGGACATTAGGGCTTGAAGCAACCTGGTCTAGTGGAAGGTATCCCTGCAAATTGAAATAAGATGAGCCTTTAGTCCCTTGCACCCCAAACCATTCCATGACTCATATGATGATTCTTCCACAGATGTAATGGTAGCTGTCTTAGCCAGCTTGTACTTGGATTGGTCTTCTTAAAGTGTTTCTGGATCAAAAATATTTAAGGCAGTGAAATGGAGCATGTGGAAAAATGGTGTTGTCTACCAGAGTTTTTATTAGTGTCTGTTTATTGCTGCCCAGGGATGCTCTGTGCCGTAATAATGGTGATTCTCAGCTGTAATCACAGCTTGATAACTTGATGGAAGTGCAAAGGTTGCTTTTTCTGGCAGACATCCCATTTTGCGTTCCAGTTTATAGGATGATCTTTAATCAGATTTTTTTGCTGCTGATTCCTGAGCCTTCTTTGATGTCAGACAGCAGCTCAAGTTGGACAGCAGCATTTGACCTTGGAGCCTGAAGATAACATAAGGTGAACCGTGTGTTCATCCTCATGTCAGGAATGCTTACCCATGGGGAGTACTACAATCATAGCACCTAACTCTTCTTCAGGCATCCAAAAAATGGATTTTCAAAGACAGGCAAGCATACACATGGCTTTTTGGGAGCATTCAGGCCATTCCTGTGCTTCTGCGAGTCCTGCCTGGGGTGAAGAGCAGCTGCTTGGTACCTGCATCCAAGCATCACAGGGGTTGTGCTGAGGAGCTCAGGGAATCTGAGTGTCCCTCTCCCAGCCAGACAACTCTTCCAAACACTTATCCTCACGTATGAGTCTTTGACTGGCTCTTCTTCTCGCTGTTAAATAGTAAGAACATTTCACATGCCAGAGATGTTGTACATGGTTTGTTAAATCCTCCACTGAACACCTCTGGCTGTAGTTGCTTTTGGAAGTTGCACAAAGCCCATGGAAAAGAAGGCAGAATTTTTGGAAAGAGGGTAGGAAAAATGGAATTTTTCTTAGTCCTATTGTGTGTGGGACTACACCTGTACAAGGCACTGGAGAAGGAGTGCCACTGCTAACTCTGTAAGTAGCAGAGCTCTTGCTCCCTGAAACTGCAGCAGTGCCCTTCCTCTGCCCTGCTGAATGCCTGTTATCAGCCTGTCCTCAGGTCCTGCCAAGCTGTTTTCCTTTGTCTCCTTTGGACCATGACCTGTGTGTGGCCACATCTCTGTTACTGTGCCCAGGGCACCAAGCAGCAGCAAAAGCCATGGTGGTTGTGCACTGTTGTGCTTTGCCCTTCCTGCACACCATCACGGGAGGGTCAGGTGTTTCTCTCTACATGTGCAGTATTCAAAGAATTTGCAGTAAAACCTGTATGACCCTGCCCCTGCCTGGAGTCCTGTGACACCAGTCTCTCCTGAGCAGAGCATTGTCTGAAGTCAGAGTAATGGCTTGTTCTTGTTGAGCTTGTTCCAGCCCCTGACCAGGCCCCCTCCAGGGAGAAGGATCTTGCACATCCATCTCCATGGGCAAATAGGAAAGCCCTTGATTCCTGCATCCCCTGTCACTCCTGGGTCAAGCCCATACACCATCCCTGTGTGGCATGAGTAGATGCTGCTGCTGTGCACTGTGTGATCTGTAGCAGAGCTTGACCGTGGTGTCTGTGCCTGCTCCTGCTACGCTGCAGGCAGGGATGGTACATCAGCAGGGAGCACACCCAGCAGGTCACTTGATGCTCAGCTTGTTCTCAGCCTGAGTCTGAGCTTGTGTCCACAGAGTCAGGAGGACAGATGAGCTGGGGCTCAACCCTGTGTGTAAAGAAAATGTACATCTCACCCAGTGACCGGGGAAGGCTGGGAAAAGCATGAACCTTTATCTTGCAGCTGAAGATGTGCAGCTATGGGCCCCACTCCCTTGCTTCAGCGTTGGATGGAACTTGTGCAGCATAACTTGGGTGCTTTTGAAAGTGTATCCTTGTGTGTTAATGCTGCTTGTTCTTACTGCTCTTCTAGCTTCCATTTGCCCTGGTAAATGGCTGTTTTCCAAATAATCATAGAATGGTTTGAGTTGGAAGGGACTTCTAAAGGTCATCCTTTGCCACCCACCCGCTGTGGTTTTTTGTCCTTTTACTAGACCAGGTTTTGCTCTAGTCCAGCACTTTCAGGGATGTGGCAGCCACAGCTTCCCTGGGCAACCTCTTCCAGGGCCTTGCCACCTGTGTTGTAAAATGAGGCTTTTCTCTTGCTCCTGTGAACCTGTGTGTGCTGGGAGGGGCTGCAGTTATGTCTGCTTTGCTGACACTCTGAAGCACTTGCTGTGATCTTTCCTGAGCTGCTCAGCACCAGCCCCATGCCAAACTGGCAGAGAAGGCGCCAGAGCCCAGACCAGCCTCTTGTGACAACTCCTACTTGAACAGGTTTTCATTCCAGCCCTGTAGAACCATTCCCTTAACCCATGCAGCAAGTGGTGACTTGTGCTGGTAGCAGCCGTTTCTCTACTCACCTGTTCAATCCACAGCAGCTGACAGAAAAATGGCTTTTTTTGCAGTCAATGGATTCCCACCCTGAGCAGATCACCCTGCGCCCCAAGGAGTTCTTCTGCACCTATGACATCGAAGTCCTGACTGAAATGCAGGTAAGGAGAGTCCTGTATGTGCCTGAAGGAAAGTGCTGGTATGCAAAAGCTCTGTTTAGGGAATGTGGCCGCTCTCTCTGTTCTTGGCTTACTGGATGCCCCTGTATGAATGCTGGGTCTCCTCCAGTCCCACTCTTTTTGCCCCAGAGTGCAGGTTGCCTGTGCTGGTTCAAAACACAATGCTCCTGTGGTAGGAAGGGCATGCTGGGTGTGACCATGGTGTGTCTGTCTGTGGTGACTGTCATGTGTTACCTGCCATTCCTCATGTGGATCTGGGGAGCCAGGCGCCATCTGATAAAGATAATCAGCCTTCAAACAGTGCAGACAATGATGGCTTAAATATTTTTCCCCATTATTTTATTTATATTGGGAGATCTTCAAGGATTTGTGAAAAGGCAACTAGGAATATTTAAGGTGTGTGTTGGCCAAGCTGTGGACATGGGGGACTAAAACTAACAGACTAACTAAAAGCAACCAACTAACTAACTAAAACTGACGTGGAGGACTAAAACCAGACAAGTTGATTGGGCTGGGACCTCGGTAAAAATCTGGGATTTCTTCCCTTAACGTTATTTAGGAATGATTTTAGGTGGCGGCTGTGGATGTCAAGAGCAAGATAGCTGTGTTCAAGGATGGGTTTAAGATGGAATACAACAAGCTGCTGATAGCAACGGGAAACACGTAAGCTTCGGACAAACATCTTAAAGATCAAGAGAAACTGTTTTATCTGAGAATGTGAGGAGCTAATGCCTGGGGATAAGGGATGAAATGTGGCAGGTGAATTTAAACACTGAATTTGTTTGAGTATGGAAAAGTCAAGGAACACAAAATATATTGGAAATGTCTATGTATCTACATCTATACATGATCATCAATCTATTTAATATATATCTACATCATGTATTATAGAATCACAGGATGGTTTGTGTTGGAAGGGATTTTAAAATTCATCCAGACCCACCCCTGCTGTCGACAGGGAACACTTTCCACTAGACCAAGCCCCATATAACCTGGCCTTGGACACTTCCAGGGGTGGTACCAGCACCTTGAACATATTTTCTTTAACAAAACCTCCAAAGTGGAAGTATCCTAATTCTTTTAGAGGGCATTTTTGCCACATTTCTCTTCTTTTCACTCCTTGATAACAATCAACCCTGACAACCAGACAGTTCATCCCTCTAAATGTCCATATTTCATTTTCTGCCAACCTTTAAGATCTTTTTCAGCAATTAAGCCTTAACACTTTGCTGTTGCAGCCTTAATTAGGTGTTGCTGTTGCCCCATTCTAACAGACCCTTTAGGAGCTTTGGCCCCAGAATAGGAATTTTCAGGACTGAATGTGGTCCAGCCATAGGGAAAGCACATTGATGTGCTGGGATGCCGAGCATCACTCTGGATTGCTGTTGTCACTTGTGCCCTGGAAGTAGTGGATCAGTTTGTTTTCAATTGGAGGTTTGTCAAAATCAGCAGTTTAAGCTGAAAATGAGGCATCCTGGCTCTCCTTCCTTGTGTTCCTCACATCAAGCCATAAAATGAAGCAGGAGAAATGCAGCCCCTGCATAATTTATCATCTGGGGAAGGAATGCTGTAGATCAGCCAAAACAGGGACTCACGCTGGAAGCCAAAGTGCCACCAGTCACAGCCAGTGCCACAAGGTGTGAATGGCTGGTGCTAGGGTGTACAGCATCACAGCCAAAATGCCATATGCACCAGCCACCCAATTACATTCAAAAGAGGATTAAACCTTTGGCAATAATTTCAAAATCCTCATGCACAAGCTCCAGGTACACTGGGTTTTTTAGGGTACCTAAATTATTTAGGTGCTTCTGTTCTGTTTCCAGATGTGAGTCAGGTTTGCAGGGGCCAGATATTTAAACATATATGGGCTACAGTAAGTGCCTGGGGAGGGCACAGTTAAGCTGCTACAGCATCAGCAGTGTGCCCTTGGGAATGGAGAGTGTAGCCTACATCAGCAGAGCCTTATCAAACTTTCAGTCTGGCTCCAAAGTACTGATGGAGGTCAGAATCAGTTTCCTGTGTCCCATTAAGGTTCTAAAAAATTTGTGACATGCCAATAATTGAGCATAGGCTTGTAAAGCAATGCCTGTCCTGTGCTGCACTGCCCCAGCAAGGAGCTCCCCTGGGTACACCAGTCCACTGGGGTGGCTGGGGTCTGGGGTGGCTGCTCAGCGTCCCCTGCTCCACTACTGGCCAGCAGCATCTGGGTTTTTCCATGTTATGTCTCCAGCCCAGAGAAAGGTAAAAAAAGGAAAGTTGGGCAAGTTCTTGGAGCCCTGGAAGGAGTGTCTGCAGTCCTGACTGGGCACTGAACCAGAGTTGAGAAAAGCAGCTGTATCACCCTCAGTGTTTTTCAGGCCCAAAACTCTCAGCTGCAAAGGCAAGGAGATGGAAAACGTTTTCAACATCCGGACACCTGAAGATGCCAATCGTGTGGTGAAGCTGGCCACAAGCAAGAACGTGGTGATCGTGGGAGCATCCTTCCTGGGTGAGTGCTTGCCTGGCCCATGTCCCTGTCCCAGCTCTTCACCTCTGCCTGCAGATGGGTAAAGTCCTTTGCCCAGTTAGAGGTAACACCCCCAGGAAATCAGACCTGGGGTAGTCCAGCCTCCAGCCCCAGGTGTGTGTAAGGACATTTCCATGCCAGAGGAATTGATTTTTCAAAAGGCTGGGCTGGCATGAGCATAGATATTGCTGTCCTAGTCTGAAAAGCACATGGCAAGAAAAGTACTGGTGCTCATGTGGGTCCAAATCTGGCGTGTCTAGAGTTGGCTTCAGTCAGGAGAGCCTTGTTGGTGGGTGGGAGCCTGTGGGCTTTTTCTCTTTTACATTTTAGTAGTGTGGTGAATTTTTAAAATGCACAGGAAAAATCTTCTTTCTTTGATGACTCTTCTTTTTGCTTGATATGATTCCAACAAAATTATTGTGGGTCCTAACAAAATAAGAGTGGGTCCTGCAAGCCTTAAATATAAATGGTTATTAGTCAGGGAATTTATTGTAAGATATTAATGATTTGTTTTTCTTCTTTTACAAAAGATAAATCTGTTTTAATGAATTGAATCAATATGATCTACAGAAAAGCATGTGGTGTGGGGGGAGGGAAATTGCAAACTGCAGGTCATCAAAAAGATTCATTTCCAAAAAAACCCAACAGACAGAAGATGTCTTGGTGGAGGTTCCCATACAATTCCCAGCACCAAAATTCTACCATTCTGATGGGAGAAAACAGCTACACCCAAGAGCAGTTTTCAGACCACAGCTGAGGTTGTTCCAGCTGCAGGAGGAAGGTTACCCTTGGCTGAGGTCCCTTGTTCCATGTTTGTCCCAGGGCACTTTGGGATTTCCTGGCTAGTTCCTCCCTTTGGTCTTTAAAACCTACATTTAAGAACACCTGAATCAGTGTGATCCCTGGTGTGATCAGGTCTGGTGGCTCCCCAGTTCTCCCAAGAGTGCAGCTCCAGCCTCCCCGGCTGGAGTGGGTGGGGCTGCATCTCATCTGCAGCCAGGGACACAGGGCAGTGCTGGGTGGGTTAACGTGGCTGTTTGGACCTGCTTCTCTTCCCCAGGGATGGAGGTGGCTGCCTACCTCGCGGAGAGGGCCCACTCGGTGTCCCTGGTGGAGCTGGAGCATGTCCCCTTCAAGAAGTTCTTTGGGGAGAGGGTTGGCCGTGCTGTCATGAAGGTGACCTTACTTTCCCATCTAGTGGGGGTTGGTAACAGAGCGGGTTTTGCTTGTTTCACTTATTGCACTAATTAATTTACTTCACATTTATTGACAAAGCTGTGATGGCAACAGTCAGTGAGAATGGGCTGTATTTTCCCTGTCATGGTCCATGTGCTGTGGAGCACCTTCAAGAGCTGTGTAGGGGATGTGGGGATGCTGACCCCCTTGGCAGTGCAGGTGGAGACAAGCCTGCAGGGTGGGCAAGGCAGTGTAGGGGGCAGCAGGACATCAGGACCAGGGTGGTTCAGGGTCCTGATGTCCCCTGCTCTGTCCCTTGTCCCCCGTCCAGATGTTTGAGAACAACAGGGTGAAGTTCTACATGCAGACAGAGGTGTCAGAGCTGCGGGAGCAGGAGGGAAAGGTGAGTGGTGGGCAGGGGCTCGCTGGGGGAGCTGCTGCGGCATCCCCCAGAGCTGCTATTCCCTTCCCCAGTGGGGTTTTGCTCTCCCCTCTTTCCTATCCCCTGAAATTCATGTTCCTGGATTTGGCCCCCAGGAGCAAATGTATGCCAGTGTGGTGTGTGGGGTGACTTCATTGCTCCCACTCACCTCCCGCTGCTTTTCTAAGGAATTATGGTCAATTTGCATTTCACAAACAAGCTCAGCTGCCAGCTTGGCTTCCTGCTGCTACAGAGGGGTTTTGTCCCTAAAATAACTCTGATGTGCCCCCCCCTTGTGTCTCCTGCAGCTGAAGGAGGTTGTGCTGAAGAGTGGGAAGGTCCTGCGTGCTGACGTCTGTGTCGTGGGTGTGGGTAAGGGTTGGGGTGTGGGGGCAGAGCCAGGGAGGGCACAGAAGAAGTTGGAGGGGATGTCACAGCAGGAGGTCACTGGGGATGGGTGGCCAGGGGTACTGCCAGCCCTGCTGGACTACCACACATGAGTCTGCATATCTAAAAAAGGCATTTCTAGAGCTCCCACCACAAAATGCAACTGAAAATATATTTCAGAAGTAATAATTTTTTTTTTCCAGAAAAAAAGCCATTTAAAGCAGTTTCATCCTCTCTAGCTGTTTTTTATTAAATCTTCCCCAAACTGAACTTTTTAATGTGTTTTTTTTTCTTTTTAATTGCTGCTGACAGCAATCAAATATATATATATATAATATATATATTTTATATACTATAAAATAAAAGAAAATATCCCATAGAATATGATATATTTCTCCTTTACACTTGTGGGGGTGGGGGGAATTCCCTTTCCTTTCCTCTTCAAAATGCTGTGGACTGAAGGAATCACAGAATTAATTTAATTCTGGTTTTGTTGTTTTTATTGACTACTCTAACTTGTGAAAAGGCTAAAAAAAAATATTAAAAAAGGAGAAGGAAGGTGAAGGAATTGCACAGACTGGGGGGAGGCTGAAGAGCCCTGGCTGGAAGCTCAAAGGTTCCCTTTGAAATATAATTTTTTCAAAATATATATAAAAAAGAATTAAATTAAAAATTTTCTCTAAGCACTAGAAAAAGGCGGTGGGCAGGTTGCAGTGGTGGCTTGGGCAGGACAGAGATCCTGAGGGGCCAGAGGCTGATGCAGTGGGGGCTCTGTAGGGCACCTGGCCCTGCTCCACACTCCCAGAGCAGCTGCTGCCTGTCCCTGGGGGCAGCCCCCGTGTCCCGGCAGGAGGAGAGGCCTCAGGATGAGCCCCCAGGGCTGTGGAACACTGGATACTGCAGCAGCAGCCTCTGGCTTCCCCCCAGGTGCAGTCCCAGCGACAGGCTTCCTCAAGCAGAGTGGCATCAACATTGACTCCAAGGGTTTCATCGTGGTCAACAAGGTGAGCCTAGGGGCAGCCCCTGTGGGAGGGAGAGCAAGAGGAGCTGGGACAGCTCTTCTGATCTGTGAGCTTCCCTGGGGCTCCAAACTGCTGCCACAGGGGCTTTTCATGGCATTTTATCTGCCAAGATTGGCAGAATTTGAATTTTTTAATTCTTTGGGTTGGCCTGTGCAGGGCCAGGAATTGAACTCGATGACCCTTGTGGTTGCCTTTCATCTCTGGATATTCTGTGAGATGGTGAAATTCTGGAAGCATCACCAGGAGTGCCTGGGAACCCCCTCTGCAAGTCGGGGTGTGCAAACCCCAGACCTGGATGCTCTGGCTTGGGTCTGGCTCTGAGCTGCTCTGGAGTGGTATGGATATTTAGAGGGGAAAAAATTGAGATAGATCCATCTTTTCAAGGATCCTAAAGGATCTTATCCTTTCTCTCCACCACCGTGACTGTGATGAGGGGAGTGGTGTTGGAGCTGGTGGTGTTGGTGCCTTGGGCAAAGGAGCATGTCAGGAGGCTGGGGCTCAGTGCCATGCAGTGCTCATCCCTGCAATAAGCTGTGCTCTATCAGCCAACACCAACAAACCCCAGACTTCTGAGAGAGGCTCCAGGACAACCAGTTCATGTGTCTTTTTACTGGATAACCCGTTGGCTGAGGGATGCTCTAGGTCCCTGCATGTGTGTTCTCATTTGAAAGTGAAGAAGGCTGAGTGAAATCTCCCCTGGGGGTCCCACAGCCAAGCAGAGGTTTTCCCTGTGTTTTGAGGGACTGTGGCAGCTCTGGACCATTCCAGCTGTGGAGTTTCTGTTCATGTAGGGTGCAAACCCCACTAATGCCCACCTCTGTTCCCCCCTGCAGATGATGCAGACCAACATTCCAGGGGTCTTTGCTGCTGGAGATGCTGTCACGTTTCCATTGGCCTTGAGGAATAACAAGAAGGTGAATGTCCCCCACTGGCAGATGGCCCACATGCATGGTAGGTACTTTGCAGAAAAGAGCCTTTTCCAGATTCTCAGGAAATTTCCAAACCCTCCAGGGCAAGAATGAGACAATGGCCAACAGAGAGACTGGGTGGTTGTATTGAATGTTTTGAAGCATGTGTATCTCATGCTGCCTGTTGCACATTTATCTGTCAGCATTCTTGCCAAGCTTTGCCTAACAGTGCCTCATCACCAGCACAGAGGGGCCCAGGGACAGGCTTTCCCATGTTCCCTTTGCTCCCTGGCACTGCTGCAGGAGCCTGCTCTACTCCTTGCCCCAGGACACTTAGGAGCTCACATCCTAATGCCAGCCCGGGCTCAGGTCCCACATGGGCTTCCCACAGTGCCAGGCTGGCCTGGGAGTGCTCAGCAGAGCTCCAACCCTTCTCACCTCTCATCAGCCTGGAACCCCTGGTGTGGTGGGCTGCCCTCATGGCCACAGTCACACAGGGAGGTTTCCTGTGTGCTGGGTGAGAGGTTTTGGAACCACAGCTCCAAATTCAGCCTTTGGACACCTCTCCCATGCCCAGATATGCTTCTGCAGCAGGGACCGTACCCCAACAGTCTCCATGCCCTCCAAGGGTTTGTCCATCCCATCCCCATCTGGGTAGGAGCTCAGCACACTCTCAACCCTGTCACTATTGCACAGCTTGGGGGGAAAGAGTCTCATGGGTACAGGGCTCATGGCAGTGGAGGTGACAAGTAGGAGATGCACCATAGGAAGGAGTCTGAACCCATCCTTTTGTGCTTCCTGCTTTGTCTTGGTTGCTGTGTGGTATCCCCATACTCTGTGACTGCTGGTGTTGATGCTGTGACCTGAGTGCAGAGCATGGAGCTTGCCCTGGAGTGGCAGTTCCCCCATCCCTGTGCTCTCTTGCAGGCCGCATCGCCGCTCTGAACATGCTGGCCCACGGCACGGAGATCAGCACTGTCCCATACCTGTGGACAGCTATGTTTGGGAAGAGCATCCGATATGCGGGTAAGGGGCTCCCTGGGCTGCTGAGAGTTTGTGCTGGTGGAGGTGTCTTGGGATAGAGAAGTCAGAGTCACCTCCTTCACTGTGAACCCTCCCCACTGACCTCTGCTACAGGGCTGCTTCCCTACCTGCTTTCCGAGGGGGTTCAGTGTCTTCACTGAAACCCATCTGCCATGAAGTGCATGTCCCTAAACAGGATGGAGGATTCACTTAAATTAGATATTGGGAAGTAATTTCTTCCCTGTGAGGATCATGAGTCCCTGGCACAGGTTGCCCAGAGAAGCTGTGGCTGCCCCATCTGTGCAAGTGTTTAAGGTCAGCTTGTACAGAGCTTGGAGCAACCTGGGATAGTGGAAGGTGTTCCTGCCCATGGTAGAGTGTGGGAACAAGGTGTTTTTCAAGGCCTCTTGCAACCCAAAACTCTCCTGTGATTCTGTGGTTTTTGCACCTGCATCTCCTGGTGCTGGTCTCTTGGTTACTGCAGGACATTCTCCTTGTAGTGCTGGAATGAAACACCCTATCTTAGAGCTGGGTCTGGAGGAACTGCTGCTGATTTCACTTCTTCTTTGCCTTCCAGGCCATGGGGAAGGATTTGATGACGTTGTCATTCAGGGAGATTTAGATGAACTGAAGTTTGTGGCATTCTATACCAAGTAAGTGTTTCTCTTGTCCATATTCCTACACAGGCATTCATCTGAGATTACTCTGCTAGGCTGGAAAATAATTCTGCCAGAGCTTCTGTCAGTCAGTTTTGTTCATCTCTGCACAATGAGTTTGTCCAACACTTATACAAGGCCCTGGAGAAATGATGTTCTGATTGTACAAGTTAAACTGGTCTTTGGACCTGGTGTCTCTGCCCTTTGTCCTCATAACTGCTGTGAGCAGATGATGGCTTCTACTGGCAATTCCTATCAAATATTTCCTTCCCATCTAATCACCATGTTAATGAGTTGTGACCAGTGCTGGACAGAGTGCTCAAGCATCACTGCTTCTGCTTCTGGTTTGACAAATTGAGTTCAAAAAACTCTTCTGTCTATCACAAGCTGAGAAGGTTTGAAGGAACACAGGAGCTTTTTTACATCTATAGTGAAACCCTGCTCTCCCCCCGGTTGGGACCCTACCTGGGAATGCATTCTTGAGGTGTGTTGGCAGCTGGGATGTGTTGCCTCAGCTGTTCTGGAGCCATGCTGGCGGTTTAGACTTGAAAGTCAGTGCACCATGAATTTATCCCAAAAATATTTGCTGCTGTTTATTCTTCTGTTTCCTTTGTCCATCCCAGTCTGAAACCAGTGGCCAGATAACATCCTCATGCTGGAACCAGAGGGATTTCTCCAAGTGCTTTCTGATATTAAGGATAGGGAGAGGGAAACCAGGGAAGCAAAGGGCTGCCCAGCTCAGCTGTCAAACCACTTGGCCGCAGCATCCAGGCAGGGATCAGAAGGGAGCTCAGGACAGGAGCCAGCTCTGGCTCTGTAGACATCATCTCACTTGTCCCTCTGTCCCATCTCCAATGTACCCAAGCCTTCTCCCTCCCTGAGGGTGGCCCCCTTGCCCATGTTGCTCAGAATGGAGCCTGGTGGTTGGATGTGTGCATTGGGCTTGCGGAGGTATGGGGCTCACTGCATCACCCTGGGGATCCCCAGTGCTCACCCTCCTTTCCCTGGTACCTGCACACCTTGGGTAAACCCCTGCTGCAGGGATGCGGCTCCAACTGGCACCCAGGGACCTGTGCACACTGGATACAGCTCAGAGTGTGCTGGAACCTTGGCCAAATTGCCTAAAGGGGTGGGTTTGTGCCAAGGCACCACCTGTGCTGGGGAGAGCTGCTGTTGGGACGTTCCCCTCCTGCAGTCTTTCGACATGAGAGCCTTTTATCTCTTTATCCCAACCCTAATTTGAAAGGAAACATCTGAGGAGGCTGTTCAAAGGAACACCCTGAGCAAGGTGCATAATTCCTGCTCCACGCCAGGGCCCTATGCTCCGTGTGCCATGGTGCCTGCAAGGGACAGGGGCTGCCAGGGGACCTGGGCTTGGTGGGCAGGCCTGGAGGTCCCTGCTGAGCGCTGTGTTGTTCTGCCACCCAGGAGGGTCTCCCGGAGCTGGCGTGTGGGTACCAGGACGGCATTCCATGCTGAGAGCCGGAGGTACTGGGAAGCACTGGCTGGTGGGGGTCAGCCAGTGTGTCCCCCACTGCTTGACTCCCTCATCTGTGAGAGGCCGCTGGAGCATTTCTTTCTTTTTTGGTGGTGGTTCTTCTATTTGGTGCTAATGCTTTTGGACTGAGGACAGTCCCAAGCTGACCATTTCCTCCTGCTTTCTTCTGCTGTGCCCACCCTGTGTTTGGACTCTTCCTCCTGGTCCTCCTTAGTTGTTGCAGGAACCACTGGTGGTTCCCGCTCCTACAGCCTGTCCTCAGCTGGCTTTCACAATAAGGCTTCTTCTGCCCCAGAGTTTGAAGAGGGAAGGAGTCTTGTCAGAGCTATGTAGAGGCCAATAAAAGGCCCTGTGCTGGGAGGTGTAGGGGACAGCACTCTGCAGATGTCCCTGCCTTGACAACAGACTGATGTCATCCTGCCCCTAAGATCTTGGAGACCAGGGAATTGCTGTGGTTGTCTTCTTCACAGTTCTCCACCTCTGTTACGTTGCGTGCTGCAGAGGAAGGGAAGACCATGTAGACACATCCACTGTGCTTCCCTGTTCACTTGGTCTTCACAAAGACTTTTGATTGCTCCAAATCCCAGGTTCAGGATGGGAATTCTTGTTACCATTGAAGACCTTTTGAAAAAGAGGGATTCCTCCTGGCTTCCCCCATCTGTCTGACAAAGTGTTCAAAAGCCACTGCTGATGCAGGGTGCTCCAGCTCACCAGCACCCCATGAACTCTTTTGCAAAAGGAGCAGCTACCCTGTGTCCTGCTGGCAGAAATGTTTGGGCTGCATCTGCCTTCCTGGCTGGCCCCTTTGTGCACTGTCTGGGTTTGAGGCTGAGCCAGAGGGCAGCTGGGGTAGTACATCTGGTTCCCTTGCACACCTTGGTTATTCATTGCTTGGAACAGCACTTCTCCCCCTGGTTTTGATGGGTAGGTCTCTCCAACCACTTTGTGTTTCCCAGTTTGGAGCTGGCTCTGCTCAGGAAACTACTCTCCTTTATTTGCCATGGGCTTATTTAGGAATGGGAGTTTTTTTAAACAATCTGTGATGGAGCTGCCCCATGGCTTTGTAGACACATGTGAGAGATACCTTTAACTCCCATGGCTGCACAGGGCTGAAGTATCCTCTGAAACATGGCTTTTGCTCTCCCTGTCCTGGGAATTAGGCATATATCCCTCCCCACCCCACCTCAGCTGCTCTTTGCTCTGTTGATCCCAGAGCTCTTTGGCAGTCGATTTAAGAGCAGATCTTGGTTTAGTGGGTGCTTCTACTTTTCAGTTTATTCAACAATATCACCAGAATTTAAAATCTTACCCACCCATCTTCCCTGATCTCACATTGTGCATTCAGTTATCTCTTCATGGGTCAGGCTTTGAAGGTTTACACTGGGATTGACCTCGGCAAACCCCAAACGAGAACCCACCTTCTCGTTTGCTTGTGACCTTTAGCCAAAGCTCCTCCAGCAGTTTTATGTCCTCCTCCTTCTCCTTCATTTGTTTTCCTCTCAACCTTTGAGGCTGCATGGCGATCCTGCTAGGGGAACAGTCAGCCAATCTGGACATCCTATATTCATGAGGACTTGCTTGCTGGGGCTGGGGACCCAGGGTTGGACACCCCAGCTGTCCCAGTGCCCGTGGAGCAGCTCAGAGCGGGGCACTCTGCTTGTTCGGAGGTGGGGATCAGGAAGGGGATGTGGAGCATCCCAACTGACTGTTCCACAGGGAAATCCTGACCACCTGCCTCTCCACTGCCTCAGCACAAGGCAGCAGCGCAGGGATTACAGCTGGGCATCCTTCGTGTTGTCCAGGTTTTTATCCGCCATCAGATTACCACTGGTGGTGTTTTCCCACAGGTGCCAGGGTGCCAGAGCTGTCTCCATCACCCAGGCACCCTAGTGATGCTCATGACATCACTGCCAACACTGGTTACCAGTGCGGCCTGCTGTGCCACTCTGTACCCTCTCCTGATCCTTTTTCCAGCCATCTTGTTCCAGTTCCTGTGGTGCTCATACCTTGGGATCAGGCCTGGCTCTGGAGTGGGTGTTCCTCTTTGCCTCCCTCTTCTCTCCATCATGGTGGGTTTTGGGTGGTGGAGCTGTGGCCATCCAGGCTGCCCTAACTGCTCTGCTCTGCCCGGCCCTAGGAGTGACGAGGTGGTGGCTGTGGCCAGCATGAACTACGACCCAATTGTTTCCAAGGTGGCCGAGGTCCTGGCTGCTGGCAGGACCATCCGGAAGCGTGATGTAGAGTAAGTAGACAGGCAGTGGGAAGTGGCAGTGCCAGGGCAGGGGCTAAGCACAGCCATGGGGTGCTGGGCAGAGCTGAGCCTTTCACACTGATCCATCTCCATACCACTCTTGCATCTCCCTTCCTGTTCCTGCTTCCTCCATGCCCCCTGTGCTACTTCCCAGCTGCCTCCAGGTCTGGCATCCCCCACACACAGGGTTTGTCTTAAACACCAGGACCTAAATCCTTGCACAGACAGGGTGGGATGGGGATACTCTCTGCCTTCGGGCACTGACACATCACCAAGGAAGCAATGCCTGATGCTGGGGCACCCTGGGCACCCAGTCAGTCAAGGAGACCTGCAGAGAGGGACTGGGTGTGTAGCCTGTGCATAACCCCCTATGCACAACCCAGCCCAAAGAGCTGGCGGTGCCAGGATGCTGGCCTGTGGTGTCTCAGCCTCTGATTCCTTGGAGTGGAGCTCATAGGCAAAGGGCATTTTTCTCCCTTCACTTTGTTTTTAAGACCATGCAGAGGAAAGAGCATAACTTTGTGCTGAGGGTGGGTGCTGGAAGGCAAATGCCAGGGAGGTGATAACAGCTGGGAAGAGGCCTTTAGAGTGGGAATCGGAGCTGCTGAGGAAATGTGGGTCCCTGTTCCAGGGGTATTTCTCTGGAATAAAAGCAGATCTTTTCAAAAGCTCAGGGAGAGGAGCTCCCAACCCCCAGGAAGTTTTGTCTCTCGGACTCCCTGGGAATCCCTGGGATGGGGAGCATGTCACCTGATGGGGGCCCCCTCACCTGAAACAGGGTTCATAAAATGACAGAATAGTTTGGGTTGGAAGGGACCTTAAAGTCCATCCAATTCCACCCCCTGCTCCCTTCCCTCCCACTATCTCAGATTGCTCCAAGCCCCATCCAACCTGGCCTTGGACACTTCCAGGGATGGGGCAACCAGAGATCCTCTGGGCAGCCTGTGCCAGGGTCTCACCACCCTCAAAGGGAAGAATGTTTTTGTGCCATCACCCCAGTACATCGGGAAATGGTTGCTGGTGTCCCACTTTGTGGCTGGGAGGGAGGGATATCTTGTGGGCATCCCAGGGGCAGGGAGGAGCTGCTGGCCCTGTGGTGGGACTCAGGGGCTGGAGGAAGCCAGATTAAACCTGAATGTCTTTTCTCTCTTTGTCTCCTGCTGCTTTCACCACTAAAGGCTGTTTGTCCGTCATGGCAAGTACGTTCGGTTTGGGGTCCTGAGTGTGCTGGATGTGAGGGGCTGGCAGTAGGGACAGCTGCCCCCCTGACTGAGCTATATCCCTAATTCCCATGTGGGGACACTGGTTACAGCCGGGGGTGGGGGGTGTCCTTATTTTACATCCCCCTCACATGGCGGGGGAAATGCTGGTTGACAGGGCTGGGGCTGCCAGGAGCCACATCAGGCACAGATCCTGTTGGTCGGGACCTTGCTTGGCTGGGGTTTAGTGGCTTTCCATGGATTTTCAGCTGAAGGGCAGCTTTTAAGTATAAATAAATAAAATGTTTGACCTCAGTTTTACACAGAATTGAGGACCTGCAGGTGACTTTTTGGACAGTTTAGTGACAGGTGAGTGAGGGCAAAGGAGGCAGCTGATTGCTGGGGTGGACACCAACTACTGCACTAGCACCAAGCACACCAAGAGCATTTGCCTGTGCACATTGAGAAACCCCTCACAGTACTGTGGTTTTTCTCTCTTTTAGAACTGGAGACATGTCCTGGATAACAGGAAAAGGCACCTAAAGCCACGGATGGCTGAGCTCTCCTGATCCTGCACTCGCCGTGGGGAGATGGGACAGCAGCTCCATGGCCTGGTGGCAACCCCATGGCTCAGCCATTTCCCTTTGAGATCTCGATGAACCTGGCATTGTGACCTTCCAGGAGGATCTCACACAGCTCCTCTGCCCCTGTGCCTGCTGGGCTGGGACTGGGGCTATGTTGTTGCAATTGCTCTGGCATGCTGGAAAAGCAGTCCACAGAGAGTGTGAGGTTTGGCACTGGCAGTGGGCATGGGTGCCACGTGGCTCGGGATGCTGCCAAAGGGCTGAGGGTCCCCAGGCGGGTCTGCCCATGCATGTCCCTCACTCCCATAAGCAGCACGAGTGCCTTTGGTTGTCCTGTGCTTTCATGCATGATGCTCCTTTTCAAATTCTCTTCACTCCCAGCAGAGCTCCAACATCCATCCCTGCAGACCCTGACATCTGCTCCTTTCCTGCATGGCTGCAGCATTTGCCACAGCTCTCCCTGTGCCCACCCACCCCAGGGTACACCTGGGCAGGCCAGGAGATTGCACTGGGTGATCTCTGTGCAGCTGGTGCAGTGTTGTCCAGGCTGGTCCTGTGCAGCCCCACCAGCAGAGGTGGGTCCCTGTCCATGCTGAGGACTCTGGAACTCATCAGTCCCCATCCCAACATCTCCTGTCCTGGAGCAGCCAAGGGGCTGGGATTTATTCCCTGTCTCCTGGGGCTTGGTTTGGGCCGGGGCACTGGCAGCTCTTGGGCCCATTCCTGGGGTGCATTGCAGGGATACCTGAGAGCTGTGATGGCTCAGCTGCAGCCCTGGGCTGGGTGGCCACCCTTCCAGCCAGCCTTGGGATATCTCTCCTTAATGGGGTCAGTGCTGTTGCTGAGGTGTTATTCGAGGAAAAGTAGCTGGGGGAGCATTTCTGGCTGTCCATTCTCTGGCACTTGTCTGGTGTAGTGACAAAGCTGCATTTCCCAGCCCACCATGCTAGTGCTCTGCTGTCCTGTTTCCGGCCCCGTGCTGAAGAAGAGCCATGTCTCCAGCTCAGGAGTGGACCTGGCCAGCCACAGCCCAGTGTCCATCAGCCCAGCAGAGCGGGGGTTGAGGGTCCCCATTGGAGAGACTCCAGTGCTTTGTTCTGGGGGCGACTCCTTCCCCAGCAGTCAATGTTTTACCCTGAGTCCCAAACAAGAGGATTTATATTTTTAATTTGATTCAGCCCCTGTGAATTAAAGCAATACTATTCTTGGGGTCTGGGTCATTTCTGATTTCTTCCAAGACCTTGGGTCACCTCTGCATGGCCGGGTTGTTCAAGAACCTCTTTTCTGGAGACTTCCCACCTGTGTCCAGCTCACTTGTATTTCCAGTATTTCATATCTTGGCTGGGTAGAAATGCACCAGTGTCTATCACATCTCTGGCTGGTCTCTCCTGGTTTCACTGCAGCGTTTTTCCCACATGGAATGACCAGGAGGGATGGTAGCAGGATGTGGGTCCCCAGCACGCAGGGAACTTGCAAGTCTCATCTCAGGTTCCAAAAGACAAATGTCAATGTTCCTGTCCACAGGTCCTCCTCTGAGGGCCGGGGTGGCTGGGGCTGCTCAGCTCCTGGTTCCCCCGGGCAGGGCTCTTCCAGAGTGGCCCAGGGCTGTGGGCACAGCCCAGGTGCTGCCTCAGCTCTGCCCACTACCCACAAAGATCTGGGTTTGTGTCCCGTGTCCTGCTGGTAGGATAGTTGGACGCAGCTCTGGCAGCTCCCCAGGGGACCCAGCGGGAGTGCCAGGCGACTCTGGGGCACCACAGGGTGGCATTCCCTGCAGTTGTGTGTTTTCCCCAAGCTCTCTGTCATATTCTCCATGCTGGGTGAGAGTGGCAGCTCCCCCAGCACAACTTTGCTACGCTGGGGACACAGTGGCAGAGTACTTTGTTTTTCAGGAAGATGCTTTTTGACCTCCTTTGCCTCTGATGGGGCCTCATCCACTATTGTGCATGAGCTGCATAAAATGGGCATCACCCCCATGTTCAGAGGGCCGAAGATCCAGGGGCTGAGGAAGGACCTTCTGTCTCAGTCTACGGCTGCAGTGGGGGTAACAAGTCCCATTCCCTGCTTTTTACAGAGGAGTTGTTTCAACCAGGGCTGGTAATATCACCCATGACATGAGAAATCCCAGTCACCACTGTAACTTTCCCTGGGACATGTGTCAGGTCATGGGCAGGGCTGGCTCAGATGGGTATTGCTCCTCTGCACAGGTGTGGGGTGGTGTTGAACCTGAGAGCCCTTATCCAGTGCCTTGGCAAATGCTTCCCAGTGGTGAGTCTGTCCTGGAACTGGGCAAGGCTGGGTTGTGTTCTCTGCCACTTTTCCAGGCCCATCTTGCAACCTCTCGTGCCAGGACAGAAAGTTTCCATCTCTTCTTAAGAAACTGCCTGTTCCCATGAGGAATGAAATCCCAGCTGGGGCACATGCAGTTACCCCCAGCTGCACTGTCCCATGTCAGTTACCTCCACCAGACTGCCCATGCAGACTTGATGCCCCCAGATCCTGAGCTCTCCACCAGCTCCTGCTCCTCAGATTCTTGGCTGTGCCTGTCACCCTGCCCATGTCTCACCTGTGTGCTGGCAGGATGTGGGGGACAGCTGGGGCTTTGCCTCTGCTCCATGCAGGTGAGACCCTATCCGGAGAACTGCATTCAGCTCTAGGGTCCCAGCACAGGAAGGACCTGGAGCTGCTGGAATGAGTCCAGAGGAGGCCAAAGGGATCCTCTGAAGGCTGAAGCCCCTCTGTTCTGGAGCCAGGCCAGGAGAGCTGAGGGTGTTCACTTGGAGAAGAGAAGGCTCCAGGGAGAGCTCAAAGTCCTTTCCAGGGCCTAAAGGGGCTCCAGGAGAGCTGGAGAGGGGCTGGGGACAAGGGATGGAGGGACAGGACAAAGGCAGGTTGGGATATTGGGAAGAAGATGGTATATAGTGAAGAAATTCTTCCCTGGGAGGGTGGTGAAGCCCAGGCACAGGGTGTCCAGAGAAGCTGTGGCTGCCCCTGGATCTCTGGACATGTCCAAGGCCAGGCTGGACAGGGCTTGGAGCAGCCTGGGACAGTGGAAGGTGTCCCTGCCCATGGCAGGGGGTGGGATGAGATGAGCTTTGAGGTCTCTTCCAACCCAAACCATTCTGCAATCCTACAACTTCAGCCAGTCAGGTGCTGGTTTAACCATGCCTTCAGCCCCAGATGGTTTGGTTTTGGCAACATATGGCAGTGAGCTCTGCAATTTCATTTTAGCTTTATCCAGGAAAAGAATCATCTCTTTCTTTGATTTCTTGTGTTCCTTGACCCTAAGTTCCTGGCCCTTAAGGACCTCATTTATAGCACTTGCTCCCACTATTTGAGGCAGCGTCTCTGATGCACCTTATGGGGTGAGTTGGAGGCTGAAGATCATGAGGTGAGACCAGATCTGTTGGGTAGAACTGACTGACACTTATAGAGTGTGCCCAGAGAAGGCAACAGTGCTGGGGAAAGGGCTGGAGCCCCAGGAGAGGCTGGGGGAGCTGGTAGAGGGGCTCAGCCTGGAGAAAAGGAGGCTCAGGGGGGACATTGTGGCTCTGCACACTGACAGGAGGGGACAGCCGGGGGGGTCGGGCTGTGCTCCAGGGAACAGGGACAGGAGGAGAGGGAACGGCCTCAGGCTGGGCCAGGGGAGGGGCGGGGTGGATATTAGGAAATATTTCTTCATGGAAAGGTTTGTCCAGCTCTTATACAGCCTTCCCAGGGCAGTGGTGGAGTCCCCATCCCTGGAAGCGTTCAAAAAATGTGTAGATGTAGCACTTGGGGACATGGTTTAGTGGTGATCCTGGCAGTACTGGGCTAATGATTTGACCTGATGATCTTAGAGGGGTTTTCCCACCTTAATAATTCTGTGATTTTAAACTTGAAGTTCCTGAAGAACCTTTCCCTCCCATTCATCTCTGGCTCAGCCACCCCCTAATACATCATCCCCCACTGCCCTCCCCAGCACCCCTGAGCCTGGATGGGGCTTGAGGAACTCACAGTGATGGCTAAATACTCCATCAGCCTGGAGGCCTTGAAGAAGCATTTCAGGTGAAGAGTACCATCCTCTCATGAGGCATCCTCGTTTGCCAGGGGTCTTTGAGCAATATTTGTGTTGCTAGAACCCGGCTGGGAGAGGGTGCAGTTGCTGCAAGTCACAGTGACAGGTGCGAGCTGCTGTCACCCCCTAAAGATGCCGTTGAGGGGAGATGCTCTGTGACTTGTGGTTTCCTTGCAACTCCACCTTGTGATTCCTGCATGGGCTTGGTGTTCCAAGGTGGGAATTCTCCTTCCCCAGATCCCCCTTCCAGGTCAGCAGCCCTGTCCCCAGGGAGCCAATGGCCGTGTGGCCCTGCGCATTAGCCTGGCCTGTCATCTCACTGATTCCCTCCTGGCTAATCCGGGCTGAGCTGGGCTGGCTGAACAGGGCTCAGCTGCTGTCCATGGCTGTGCCCACCCCGCTGCCCCCCAGCCTGCGCCGGGGCTTGGTGGCCTTCAGTGGGTCCCTCTTCATCAACAACAAGACGTGGGATAGCGGCACTGCCCACACCTACCAGCCAGGTATGGGCTCTGCAGAGGGGGCTTGGGAACAGGGGCTGTCCGTCCCCATGACCCTGCTCAGCACATCACCAAAGCAGCTGGGTGCCTCTGAGGCAGCAGCACCCAAAGGGTGCTGAACCCACCCACCAGGGAGGGAGCAAAAATAAGAACGTTTGCTGCAATCAGCTGCTTGTGGGACCCAGGGTCTGTTGCTCCCCTCCACAAGGCGTGAGGGGGGTCCCTCTGGGCAGGGGGACCCCGGGACTGGTGAGCAGCCTGCCCATCCCTGCCTAGCTCACAAGGTGCTGTCCAGCCTGCCCCTCCAGGTGATGCTCTACTTCAACGTCTACTACTTCCCAGTCTGGTGCCTGGCTGAGGGGATTATGCTGCACCTGAAGGTACCATTCCATGGGGCACGTAGGGATGGGGGGAGCTGCTCCTGCCAAGCCTCCCTGGGCCTGGGTGGGGGACAAAGTGGGCAGGGGACAGAGGAGCCCCTTCAGAATTAATGGATCCCCAAAATGCCCTGACCCCACGAGAAAAGATTGCTCATCTCTCTCTGCTAGAGATGGAAATCATGAACTTTCCAGGCAGGAATGGTTAAAATGGGGGGGGGGGGGGGGGGGGGGGGGGAGAGTAGGCAGAGCTGGGCACCAGCATGGTGAGAGCTGGCAGAGCATGGAGAGCTGGGTATGGGGAGGAGGGCACAGGGAGCTGGGCATGGAGAGCAGGGAATGGTGCACAGGGAAAGTGGAACTGGGCATGGACAGCTGGACTTGGACAAGGCTGTGCCCCCATAACAGTACCACCTGCTGCCTTGGCACTATCAGTTCCTGCTGGTCACAGCCTTCCTCATCCTCTCGCTGGCTGAGGGCTCCCGCCTCTACCTGGGCTACCTGGGGAACCTGCAGGAGAAGGTAAGCACTGCCTGCCCTGGTCTCTGTGCTCAGAGAGGATCAGCCCAGCTGGGGGAGCTGGATGTCCCCTCCCTTAGGACCCATGTGCCCATCACTGTCCTTTCTCTGGAGGTCTACCTGGAGCTGTCCTGGAAGAGAATTGTGGGTGAAGGCATGACCTGGAGAGAGGGAATGAAGGGGACCCATGTGCCCTCCTGCTGTCTCTCCACTGGGGGGGTTTGACAGCATCTGACCACAGCTCAATGGAGCAGGGACACCCCTGGTCCCCGGGTTCCAAGGCCAGCAGAGGCTCATGCAGAAAGCTCCAGGGGCACAGAGGGTCCCTCCAGCCCACCACTGCCTCCTTGCCCTGTCTCAGTAGGTTCTGATCCTGCAGGTGCCTGAGCTGGCTGGGTTCCTGCTCCTCTCCTTCCTGATCCAGCTGCCCCTCCTGCTCTTCCTGCTGACGGACAGGCAGGTCATCCACCTACCGCTGGAGGTGCCCATGCACAGCTTGTTCCTGGCCTTCCTCCTCCTCGAGATCGTGGCTGCCTTCCTGGTGCTGAGGACCATGACCAAGCAGCTGGCGGCACAGTTTTACCTGCGGCAGTTCCAGGAGGGTGGGAGGGGCCGGCTGGAGCCCGGGGGCACAGGGGAACAGGCAGCCAAGATGGGGTGATGCTGCAGGACCCCTCCACCCCACACAGCTGGTCCTGGCAAGGAGCATTAAAATAGTGCTTGAACCCACAGACAATGTTTCTGAGCTTTGTGGAGACCCCAGAACAGCACCCAGGCACATCCCAGCTGATGCCTCCTTGCACAAGCTAACACAGCCTAGGAAAGGTGGGAGTGAGGGGTCAGCACCTCTGAAACGTTCTGGCTCACCCCAGGGCTGTGCCTGTCCTTGCTGAGCATCAGCCCTGGCAGGAGGCAGGAATTAGGGTGCAGGAGCCACTGCACACCCCTAGGAAGTACCAGCCCAGGGCTGGCACTTTAAACTTGGCTCCTAAACCCTCCCTGAGCTCCCCAGGGAGCTTCTGAGAATCCAGATGGCCCACATGAAGCCATCCCAGCTGGAAGCATGCATGGGTGCCATGAGGTGCAAGCAGAACCTTACAGTTCCTCCAGGACCAGAGACAGAGTAAAACCTCCTCCCACTTCCAGAAGAGCTTTATTCCATTGCATCCCTGTTTTTCAAGGGAAATCAATGTCCATGATCATTGGAATGTGGAGAAATGCAAAATGCTTTAAGCCTCTTGTGCCAAGCAGGACCAGCTGTTCCCCAGCACACTCCGGGGTAGCTCCATGGGCAGCTCTGCTCCAGCACCGGTTGTCAGCGCTGGGAGCTGCCCCCGGGATGGCTTTGTGCTCCGGGAGCCAAGAACTGCTCTGCTGCCAGTGCTTCTCCAGGAAAGGCAGACCCTCACCCCGGCAGTGCCCACCTGGGCCAGGACTGGCCCACCTCTACCAGGGCTGGAGCCATGTCCCCATCGTATCTACCTGCACATGGCTCTGGGGGGAAGGGTGTTTGTGGTGGAGCATTCCCGGTGCCCCTAAGCTGTGGCCTCAGGCTTACCTTTAGGGGGTCTTGCCTGCAAAATGAACAGGGACATCAGTATACAACAGGCATGGAGGCAGCCCAGGTGGCCCTTAGCTACTCTGCTTGGTTCCATGCAACCAGATTCCCAGGACCCCCACCCCACTCTGGATTCGAGATCAGGCATTAGGAAAGTTTACCCCCCAAAAGGATGGTGCAGCTTTGGGACAGTTCACCAGGAGATGGAGGATCTCAGTCCTCAGAGGCTCCAAAGACTTGGCCAGACAAAGCTGGAAATGACCTGAGGCAGGACTGCCAGCTCTCCTGGTCTGTAGGGGACACCCTGTGACTCCCTGATTCACCAGGGCAGTGAATTCCCACAATGGAATAATGTTTGGCACATAAACCTGTCAATGACCCACAGAACAGGATGTGCCCTGAAGAGCTGGCCCCTCTCTGCATGGAGTCCCAACAGATTCCCTTTGGAAGAGGGTGAAAAACATAGAGCTGGGTCAGTTTTCCAGATTAAGGTCTCCATGGCGACCCACTGATGGATGTTTTGACAGTAGTTGAGGTCATGATGCAACTTTCCCTGATTCCTGGCACCAGCTGGATCCCTCTCCCAGATCAGACTGGCAATCAAGCCCAAAAGTTGAAAACTAAGAGTTGCTCCATTAGGTTTTTCCCTGATCTTGGGAACTGAGTTTTAACCAAAGGGCAGAAAATCATTAAATCCAAAATGATTCACTTCAAAACCTCCTCTCTCCCATGTAGCCCTATCCTTACCTCCTCAAATTTCTCCTTCCAATAAAGGTCAGCCTTTGCATCCAGGTAGAGCAGAACCAGGTCACAGACCATTGTAGCCTGGAGGCAGACAAACATTGAAGACGAGAAACTTCCCACAGGAATACCTGGCCTTCCATCCTGGCTCCCACTGAGCCCTGCAGCCAGCTGTGGGCATTTGCTGTGGCTCCAAGCCAGTCCTGCCTCCAGCCAGCTCCACTGGCTCCTCTCTGACCCAAACTGGTCCAGGAGCTGCACAGGAGGTCAGACAGGATCCCCAGACTGCAATGGATGGACAGGGAGGGCTGTTCCAGCACCTCCACAGTCACATATGGACTGGGATGAGCACGTCAGGGAGGAAAGGGGGGCAGGTGGGGAACCTCCCTGTTACTCTGCTGGAAGGGAAGAGCCACAGAAGGGCTCTACAAAGGGCTGCGCCCCATAGTGACAGGACACTGCAACTCTTCAGTCAGAGAAGTAGAGAAGCTGCTCTCCTGTCAGCAGCATCCCAGTGATGCTCTGTCCCAGGTTCCACACAAAAACCTGACCACCATGAGACATGACTCTGACAGCACTCAGGATCCCAATCCAGTAGTGTCATTACTAATGGTCACAGGGAGACCTGAGCTGACACCCTGCCAGACCATCTCCCCTCTGTGCTGGCTGCCACTAAGGAAGCCTTGTGCCTAGGCAGGCAGGGAAACAACTGAGAAGTGGCAAATCCCAAGCCATGGATTGAAGGAGAAGAGTGTATCCGGAGTACTCACAGCACCAAAGAAGGCGATGCTGGTGCCAAAGCTCACAGCAGTAGGAACAATGCTGAACTTCCCAGCCTGGTGAGAAACAGTGGAGGGGCAAGAGAGAGGGTGAAGAGTGGTCAGAGGGGTGAGAAGGTTGTGGGCTGAGCCCTGCGGGGCAGCATGCTCAAAGTCAGGAGGTGCTGGAAGAATCCAGGGATATTTCCCCATGCAGATTTGTAGGAACTGCTGTTGTGCTGACTCCAACCCCCTTTGGTTGTCAAAGAAGGGACTGAGGTGCCTGATGAACTGGAAGCAGCAGAGGTTACCGTGACCCACCTGCTCCTGCAGGCACAGCAGGAATCTCCCTCTTGCTGCAGCTGCCACCCATGGAACCACATCCCAGCAAACACAACCCTGATGTGATGTGTCCCTCCCTTCACAAATGAGTCTGGTGGTTTCTCTTCTGGTTGTTCTCTCCTGTTCCACAGCTCCTGGACCTGCTCTCTCAGCCTAGAAGTGGTACACCCTCTCCTGCCCTGTGTGCTTCACCTTCTTCAGGTACAAAGGGCACTGCTGAGCATCAAAGACCAGCTATGGACACCTCTCAGTGTGGGAAGTGCTCTCAGCACAGGCTCCCTCTTTGGAAAGCTAAGCACTGAGACTGTGAGTGGTGCTGCATAGAGCAGCATCAACAATCATGGAAACATGGAATAGTTTGGGTTGGAAGAGACCTTAAAGCTCATCTCATTCCATCCTCTGCCATGGGCAGGGACACCTTCCACTGTCCCAGTGTGCTCCAAGCCCCATCCTGCTTGGCCTTGGACATGTCCAGGGATCCAGGGGCAGCCACAGCTGCTCTGGGCACCCTGTGCCTGGGATCATCACCCTCACAGGGAAGGATTTCTTCACTATATCCCATCTAACCCTGAGGAAAGCTAAGCACTGAGACTGTGAGTGGTGCTGCATAGAGCAGCATCAACAATCATGGAAACATGGAATAGTTTGGGTTGGAAGAGACCTTAAAGCTCATCTCATTCCATCCTCTGCCATGGGCAGGGACACCTTCCACTGTCCCAGTGTGCTCCAAGCCCCATCCTGCTTGGCCTTGGACATGTCCAGGGATCCAGGGGCAGCCACAGCTGCTCTGGGCACCCTGTGCCTGGGATCATCACCCTCACAGGGAAGGATTTCTTCACTATATCCCATCTAACCCATAGAAGGGGTTATAGAGGGACAGGACAAAGGGGAAGCCATTCCCCTTTGTCCTGTCCCTCCATCCCTTGTCCCCAGTCCCTCTCCAGCTCTCCTGGAGCCCCTTCAGGCCCTGCAAGGGGCTCTGAGCTCCCCCTGGAGCCTTCTCCTCTCCAGGTGAGCGCCCCCAGCTCTCCCAGCCTGGCTCCAGAGCAGAGGAGCTCCAGCCCTTGCAGCATCTCTGGTGCCTCCTCTGGGCTCTCTTCAGCAGCTCCAAATCCTTCTGCTGTTGGGGACACCAGAGCATGTGCAGCACCGCACCTGAGCAGGGCAGAGAAGCAGAGTCCCCCTTTACCTCCTGCCCACAGTGGTGAGGGTGAGTCTAGGACACAGGGCGTTTCCGGGCTCTCAGGCACATGGCTGGGGCATGTCCAGCCTTAATCATGCCACACCTTTTCCCCCTGAGGGTACTTTTAATCAAGAAGGGATTAATTGTCCAGGTTCAGTAGAGTTCAGGTTGATCTTTGTCAGGGTGCTCTCACCATAACACCCTCAGAGAGAGACACCCACAAGCCCAGACCAGCTGACCTTGCCTACTGAACACTTCATGGCCCCCATGTAAGACCCTCAGAGAGGGAAATCTCCCTCCTCAGGGCATTACCAAAAGCTTTTTCTTCAAATAGGAGAGACTGTTTTCTCCTGCTCTGCTTAGAAAACTCTGGGAAGAGGCAAAGAGCTCACCCAGGCGGGGAGAAGTGATGGGAGCAGAAAGCACAGGGGCAGGGTGGGAGCAGTGGTGTGAGGAGTCAGCCCTGGGGCTGAGGAGCTCACGGTACCTGGCCATGCACAGAGAGGTCAAAGCGGATCCCATAGAGCTTCAGCAGGTTCCGGTAGAGCTGCTGCTGTGAGCCCCAGTAGTAGGAGGCAGTTCTGTGGGAGACATTGGGCATGGCTCAGAAAGGCAGCTCCATGCAGGCAGGGAGGAAAGGGGAGCCAGTGCCAAGGATTGCTGGGCCTCTGGGTTCCTGGGTGTCCTCCAGGCTGGGAACTGGCCATACACGTGCAGTGATGACTCACTGGCACCAACAGTGGGGCATCAGCATCCCCTCAGCACCCAGTCTGGGTCACTGGGAGCACGCAGCTCTCCGTGAGCCCAGCTCAGGTGGGGACAGTCACAGGTCCATGCCCTCAGGTAATGCCCTGCTCAGCTCCAAACACAAAAGAGCTACCAAGTCTGAGAACTGCCACAGCATCCCTGTACTGACAGGCCCTGCCTTGAGTTACCATTTCCCAATGCCTTAAAGGTCTCTAAGACTTTTAAGTTCAAATAATTAACCAAGCACTAACCCATGTCCCCAGGTGCCACATCTACATAGCTTTTAAATCCCTCCAGGCACAGGGACTCCACCATTGCCCTGGGCAGTTTCA